GTGAGGAAGAGGGTGGTGGGAGGGAGAGAGAGCGGGGCAGCCGAGAGAGAGAGAGAGAGAGAAATTAGGGTTGAAAATGAATTAGGTTTTGGATATATTTATGGTTTGATATTTAAAATAAAATACCTGAAAAGTGAATAAAAAACATACAAACTTGATTTTTAAAAACCACTCTTTAAACACCTGATTTTTTATATTTTCCCATTTTTTTATGGCCGGTAGGAGGCAGTACCGCAGTAGCCCGACACAGACCACCTTGAAATCTGTTTGGCTTGGTTGACATCTCTGTCCATGGTTGACAAGCGTGATGTCTTTGAAATTTATTTCTACGAGCCCTTGTTTTACTGAGTGCTGAGCAGAGGTAGAAAATATTTTCGTTAGATGGAGGGCACCAAAACCCGGGCTCAATAATATTGTCACGTAGATTTGATTCTAGATTCAAAGTTTTCTTAGTGGGCACCGATGTCATGGATTAAGTCACGATCCTTAATCTTGAGCAATAAAAGCAAGCAAGAAATTTTGCATAGTTTTACGACACAGATTTTTGTTAGCACCCTCAAAATTTTCATCGAAAGTTCTTAAATTCGAGAGAAAGTAGTGTTCTAAAAGGCGTTGCTTAGGCGCGAGGCGAGCATCATCAAAATTTCTTAAATTCGAGAGAAAGTAGTTTTCTAAAAAGCGTTGCTTAGGCACGAAACAGGCGCAGAACGCCTCGCCTCACACTTATTTATTTATTTTTTATTTTTTTATTCTTTTTCGCGTCTAGTCGCGACTAGACATGCTTTTACATTTTTTTACGTTTTTTTTCTTTTAATTATTAAGCCCCTGTTTGACCCCCATTAAATTCCATTATATTATATTAAATTTTTCTCTCTCTTCATTACAACTACACATTCATCAAATATAATAATATTACACACAAATCTAAAACTTTTCACTACTTTTCCACCACACATTCTCCCATCAATCACAATTCCAAAAATTTTCAACCATAAAAAATGCAAAATAATGGGGGCCAAACAGGGGCTAAATAATTATTCAATTAATTTAAAATTTTAAAATAATATTAAAATACAAAAATTGCTTTTTTCGCTTTTTTCCCCCTAATCTCATCTAGGTCGAAACTTAGTCTTCACGATTTTTCACGTTTTACGTTTTTTGGAACATTGAAGAGAGACAATGGAGATGACCATGCCTCCTAGTCTATGTGTCTCTAAAAATTGGGCACATCGTGGGGGATAAATGAAGAATATAATTAGATTTCATTATGTCAGGTTTGGAAAAGTGAGCCCTCAAGCAGTGTTTGTGGTCCATCTAAAATTTAAGGGCATGTTCTATTTATCATTTTCAAGCCGTTTACTGTTTTCGATTTTTCAAAATAGTGAAAACGTGTTCTCTTTCCTATTTTTGAAAACGTGTTTTTAAAACAAATTAAAAATTTACAAAAAACACCCAAAACGACAAATCAAGCCAAAATTTTCAAAACACGTTTGGGGTATTTTCAAAATAATTTTTCAAAATTTCAAAAAGAATACTTTTTCAACAATCTCAAAATGGACACTCAAAATACAAAACTCAAAATGAATTCAAAACTCAAAACACAAAAGTGAAACACAAAGAGAACAGTCCATAAGTTTTTGAAGATGAGATTTTTTTTTTTTTTTTATATTTATATTTTCAACCGGCCTCTTGGTAGAGGCATAATTCATATAATTGTAATAATAAGTGTGATGTTTGGGCACAAGTCTAGAGCTTTTGACCATGTTGATAGCTCAAGAGTAATTAACTAAGAGGGTGGTGAATTAGTTTTTAAATTTTTTTGGAAGAATTAATCTAAATTCAAATAAGTAAAGTATAAATAGATTAATTCAAATAATAAGCACAAATATAAAAGCAAGAAGTAAAAGGGAGAGATGATGCAAACAATATAACTGTGGAGGTTCGATCCAAAGCAATGATCTACGTCCTCCGTTACCAAGCACTTCGATACGAGCAAGACATTTTCACTATGTTGATTGATTTATGGAGCAATCCAACCCTTTATAACGCTTTCGATGACTTACAAATATGGAGCACCGATCTTTATACAACGTTGAGCTTTATGGAACCTCAACATGACCCATTATTGGGTTTTCATAGAATCTCAATATGACCCATACGGTAACTTACAATAAGAAGCACAAATCCTTATATAATGTTGATCTTTGAAAGATTTCAACACGATCCATATTTTATCAAAGTGATTTTACAATGAAATACCTCTTTTGATAAATAATACAAACAAGTTAAGTATTAAGAGAGTCTAACATTTCAATGAATAGCAATAAATTATAGCTCAAGTGTTAAATGAACTTTTTTATGAATATAATAATCAAAAATTAGATTCAATCAATCAAAGTGTTTCATGAGAAAATGAAGAAGAAATAAATGTAATGTATGTTCAAAAATCTTCTCAAGATATATCTTTCTTTAATGAATAATTGTAATAAATTAAGTATTAAGAGAGAAATAAGAAACTTTGATGAATATGATGATTTTACAAGTTTGATTCAATCAATCATAGTTTTCAATATGAAAAAGTGAAAAAGTGTATACAATATAAGTACAAAGATCTTCTTAAAAAATATATTCTTCTTTTAAGATTGATATAAATAAGTTAAACTCAAAGAAAAATGAAAAACTTTGATGAGAGAAATAATTTAAGAAATTTGATTTAACAATCAAAATTGTTGTTATGAAAAAACAAATGAAATGAATTCAAATGTAAATTTAAAGAAATCTCTCAAAAGATATATCACTTTGATGCTTTTGAAGAATTTTATTTTTAATGTAAGAAGTAGAGGTATTTATAGAATTCAAAACGTAAAAAAATCTGGGAGTTTGGATGACCACGTTCGGTTGACCACCTCTTGTCCGGATGACCAATATAGCCGTTTGTAAAAAAAAAAAAAATTAGAGCTCGGAACAGTCAAATTTTGGACCGTTGAAAATTTTCGATCGATTGCCGCAGTTTGATATTTTTTACGTTTTGACCTCGTTTATTCCGACTTGAAGGTTTTGAAAGGCATGGACTTTTGAAATGTATTTTTAACTTAACTTTTCAAGAGAAAATATGGGTTTTAAATTCAAATATCATTTTTAAAAGTCATTTTTTCATTTGATCAAATTATTGTATTCGAATGACTTTTAATGCACAGAATTGTTTTTAATGGATAGAAGGATTTTGAGTTTATGCATTCATTGCTAAATATCAAAGTGTTATCTAAAATATCAAGTTTTTGATCTTACTCCGAATTGTGGCTCTTAAGTTCTTGAATGTGTGATTTCGATCTTGACTTCCTTCATGAGTCCAATTTATAATGTGTTGATTTGACAATGCTTGATTGATTTTAAGATTGAACTATCATCACTCAAAATTAATTGTTACAAATAATATTAATCTTATTTGTTATAATCAAAACATTAAGAATGAAATCAACCATATGTAAACAAACACCGTAGTGTGACACTGGATGATCATCTCATTTAAAAGTTAAAACATTACTTACAAAATTTTCGTTTACTAGAATCATATTTTTGGCGAGAAAAAAAATAATGTCTCTATTTGATGGGGATTAAAATTAGTTTTTAGTAAATTTTGATAAAATATGTGATTAAACAATTGTGAATCCCACGAAATATATGTTTAAAATTAATTGTTGACTTTGGCTTAAATTAAAATTCATACAAACGGGGGCATAATAAGGCAGGTCTTGCTAAAATAAGGTCTTATTTAGTTAAAAGTAAGAGTTTGCTTAGTAATAATTGCATACTAGGACAGGTAGTCAAAGCTTGAACAAATAATTATTTGAAAGTATTTAACCGGACATTTTCTTACAATTTACTTGAAGGCCTTGAGTGG